TTGGGCAATCTACTTCTGTAGTGATACCACCTCGGAAACCCAAGGAGGGGTTGCTGAGTCAGGGTCGACTGGACCGCAGTGAGGTTCCCCCCGCCCCCCGGAATCTTTACGGAAGCACACTACTACATCTTTCTCCCGCGAAGCCCTTGGTGAGTAAGAACCCCAGATCTTTTGGCAGTCAAGCACCTTAACCACTGCACCACCAGGGCCCCTAGGTGATGCATATGATTAAAAATTTTTTTACCCAGAATAAAGTGTGCTCTACAGGTCCCCTTCCAGTCTGTATGTTCCTAAGTACTCATGTAGCCCTACATACTCATTCCCACACCATCTACTCATATTGCTCTGAGCCTCCCTTTTTGGCTTTACACTGCACCTAGGGGCTCCTGCCCCACCATCACATGTGAACGCTCCCGTCTCTCTTAAGCAGAGACCAGGCTGGGCTGAGTGTGGCAATCTTCTATCGGTCTCTCCCCTCCTCCAAAGCTCGAGAGCCTTCGCAGCCCTTGGAATGAAACCTCCTAGCTCTCTCCTTTGCTCTGGCCCCCTCCTTCTAGGCCTGGCGTCCCTTCAGTAGCCTCCCTCAGCGGTCAGTTTTCATGTCCCTCCCGTAGGGAAATGTTATCCCTATCACTGCACCCGCACCAGTTCTCCCCGCCTTCTACATCACTTGGGATTACACATTTACTGGTAGGTTCTCTAATGCCCTTCCACTGAGGGAGGAGTGCCACTGGGTCTGTTTAGCCCGAGGAGGGGAAAACAGGCTTGCACCCGACCTCACAGTTTAGTGAAGGAAGACTACTATTCCCAGAAACTCCTTCGCCTCAGGCATGAGCTTCCCCCAACCCTCCACGGGAAGAAGAGTGAGCATGCGCATTGGAGACTGAGCATGCGCAAAGGCGACTGGACACGCGCAAAGGCTACATGGGCGGAGCCAGGACCTCATCTCTTGGTGGGCCATAGGGACATTTTTTGTTCCGCGTGACGAGTGACTTCCGGCATGGAGGGGCGGGGCGGGGCGCGCAGCTGAGATAGCCGCCAAAGCAGCTGGGGGAGCGGCCGGGTGGGTGGCCAGGGGGCAGCAGCCGCCATGGAGGCCGTTCCCCGAATGCCTATGATCTGGCTGGACTTGAAGGAGGCTGGTGACTTCCACTTCCAAACCGCCGTGAAGAAGGTGAGAGCGCTTCTCCCTCCGCCACCCCCGGGCGCATCCCAGTCGTCTGCCAGCGCGTGACGCCCCCAGTGCGTCCATCATATTCCCGGTCCCCGTCCCGTCGCAGGGTTGACTGAGGCCAGGCAGGGCCTCTGCCGACTTCGCACAGCCTTCCCCCTTCTCCCCCTCGCTGGACCCCTCCGTCCGGGCTAGCACCCGCATCCTCGTTGAAACCCGTTTCCCTTCCCTGGGTGCGCTTCTCCCCGAGGCACCACACTTCCTCGGTGTGACGCTCTGGACTCGGTTTTGCTCCGCCCTTCCTCCACGCCACGACCGCCTCTCGGGGTCGGGGGCGGCCTTTACTGTCCGAGTTGGTCAGTTTTGCCAGGTCCTCTATACGCTGTTAGTCTTTGACTCGTCTGGGACTGACGCTGAGGACGACTTAAGGTGTCATTAAGACAAGAGCCCCCGTGACTTCACATCCAGAGGGATGCCTAATCCCCGCGGTAGAGGTCTCTCCAACACTTGCTGCAATTTTGTTGGGTCTTCTCAGAAAGAACTTATTCAGAAGGCCTTTTGTACCAAAAGATGTAATTACTTGTCAGTTTTGGGAGTGTTAACTGTGTTTTCTGGGTGCAGACAGTGTGTTCAGCTGCTAACCTTAAAGTTAGAGGTTGGAGTCTACCCAGAGGCACCTCGGAAGAAAGAGTTGGCAACCTGCTTTCTAGAAATCAGCCATTGAAAACCCTATGGAGCACAGTTCTTCTCTGACACATGGGTTGCCATGAGTAGGAGTTGACTCTAAGGCAACAGGTTACTGTTTTCCATTAACTGCCAAAAAAATACAAATGATGTTGTACCTCCCAGAGACACATTACCAACCATTGTTGGGCAGGATAGACAGGGTGGTCTGGTGTTAGCTGAGACCTCTGCTGTGGAGAGATCAGGTGTGATGATTGAGTATCAGGTACCTCAGAGAATGACCATGGATGGTTTGGGAAGGGCCACCTGGTAGCATTGAAGGCCAGAGCTGAAGTGAAGGGGAACAACCAGGAGAGTGTTGCAGGTGGGTAGACTTCTGGTGATAGTGCAGCAGCCTCAGACAATTTAGGTTGTGGTCATTGGGTGCTTGAGAAAAGAAGTAGTAGAAAGAAAATGGATTTGGATGTGGTTTCCCAAGAAGCCATCTTTGCATTGCCACTAAGAATTTGTATTTGAGTTAATCCTTTAGCCTCTTTAGGCCTGTTTCCTCATCTGTAAAACCAGGAAATTAGACTAATTTCAGAATTATGTAAATTTTTACAGACTTTGGTCTCTTCTCCAGCTGTTTTTTCATACAAATACAATAAGATAAATTTTTCTAAAATACAACAAAATAATTCTGTTTTCTGCACCGTTCTGAGTTCTCCCTGAGTTTCATTTAGGCCCTGTTTGCCCTGCAGGAGCTCTGGTGGTGTAGTGGCTAAGGCATTTGGCCGCTAAGCCACCAGCTGTTCTGTGGGAGAAAGATGAGGCAGTCTGCTTTCGTAAAGATTTACAGCCTTGGAAATTTTAGGGGGCAGTTCTGCTCTGTTCTGCAGAGTCGCTATGAATTGGAGTCAGCTCGGTGGCAGTGGTTTGGTTTTTTGGTATGCCCTACTCTGTGCTTCTGAAAGGAGCCCTGATGGCACAGTGGTTAATCACTCAGCTGCTAACTAAAAGGTTAAACCCACTAAAAGGTTCAAACCCACTAGCCATTCTGTGGGGGAAGGATGTGGCAGTCTACGTCCATAAAGATTACAGCCTTGGAAACCCTCTACTTTAGTGGGGTCACCATGAGTTAGAATTGACTTAATGGCAATGGTTTTTTTTTTTCTGTGCTTCTGATACGGGTGGCCCACATTCTCTTCATTGCCACTTGCTGTTCCCTTAATAAGCTCTGTCTTCCCCCTTCAGTGCCTTTGTTCATGGAATTCTTACTGCCTAGAAGGGCTCTCAACTTTGCCTTGTAGGGTGGGGATGAGATTTTCTTAATTTCTTTACACAAGTTTCTCCTGATCTGAAAGTAGAGCATTCCTTTATCACCTTTTGTAAGCTGAAATGGTTAAAGAAGCAGTTACTTTTAATTTATATGGGAAAGATTTTGAGCATTTCCAGACCCAGAAAATAACCTACTGAATCATACCAAATAACGCATAAAACCTAAAATAACACTAACATACGGTGTCTGCAGACACAGTTCAAAGCTATGGCAGCTTGATGCTGAGATGTTAAATGTAGTTCCTGGGGAAGGAGCTTGGTGAGTCCATTGTAGCTGCTTTTGGTGCACACTGCCTCTTTAATGGTTTACAAAACAAATGCTGAACACCAGTTTCCCCTTTGACCTTTTTTCGTAAAGTGAATTCTCTTTGGATTTCTTTAAGTTAGCAAAAACAAGTACTAATGTAGGGCTTTTGTAAAAGCAAAGTGGTGTAAAGTGAACTTTTGAAAAGTGAAGGATACCTGTATTGGTTGTCCATCTTTCAAGGCCCAGCTTAAGTTGTCTCTTCCAGGAAACCTTCTTTAACCCTTTCATCTGAGTTAATCTTTCTTTTGTAACTGTTTTCATCCTTTTCCTGGTGACAGTTATGTGTGCTAAGTTTATTTTACATTTCTCCTATTCAGTTTTAAGTTTCCTGAGAGGCAGCTCCTTGTTTCTCCCAGCCTAGCACACTACCCTCTGCATAGCTGGCTTTTAGGAATGTTTCTCAAATGAATGAATGACAGTTCAGAGGGACAGGTCAGAGATGGTGACCATGAATGTGGAAGTCAAATGGATAAAATCTTCACGTAGAAACTCCCAGGAGATATTTTTGTTTGAACTTAACCTTTGCTGCTCTGGTCCTCATTGCTAGTTAACAAGGTATTATGTGAGCAGTGATTTACTTTCCTGGGAGCTCCTAGGCCCCTATGAGAGGAGTTACCATTTAGCCTGTGGTGGTATCCAGTGTTCAAGAAACAATTAATTTCCTAGACATTAGCTCTTTTTCTTTGTTTTCTCTTCTTTGGGATTGGGAAAGATTATTTCCTTTTGATAGTTAAGACTGTGGCATGTATTTGTATGAACCCACTGAAAAGAAACAGCAGTCTCTGGGTAGATTGGTCTCATTAATGGCCACCCCTCTCAGGGAACCCTGGAACTCCCTTCCTTTCCTGCAGAGGAGACTCTTAAGCCATTGCTGCCTGGAAACTGTTCCTGACCTGCACATCCTTCCCCAGCCCTAGAGCCCTGGCTCTGCCTTCTGCCACTGGTACTCTGGTCCTTCTCTCTGAGGTGCAGGAATCTGAGACACTAAGAGTTGTTGTTGTTAGGTGCTGTCGAGTCGTTAAGAGACACTAAGAGGTAGAATTTAATTTAGGATAGCAGGGTAAAAAAATGAGTTGTAGTCAACCTTTTGAGCCCTGTACTAAGCCCTAGTGATATAGAAGAATAAGAGACTCCCAGGGATTCATAACTAGTAGGGGAAATTTAAAATATAGTGGTGAGATCATTTTAAGAGAAGAAGTATGTGTACAGAAGTACCAGTCTAAGGAGGCGCCATCAGGGGAGGCTTGCTAAAGGGGGTAGGTTTTGAAAGATGAATAGGAATTTTCCAGGCAAAAGGTTTATTTATGTATTTTTTTGTGAGAGCTAGGAAGGTTGGGCAATCTACTTCCGTAGTGATACTGCCTCGGAAACCCAAGGAGGGGTCACTATGAGTTGGGCCCGACTCGACGGCACATAATAACAACAACAGGGTTTTGACAGAACCTTTCATAATGGCCAGTATTGGTTTTCACTCCCAATGACCATGCCTTCCCTTATGGAGTAATGTGAAATAAGAACCAAGAAAAGAGCAAGTTGGCTTGGACTGCAGTGCCCAGCTTTGGGCTGGGATACCTGGACCCACTTTTTTTTTTTTTTTTTTTTTTTAAGTAGGGAAGTCGTCTTCCATTTTCTTACCTGTGCTTTGGAGCCCATAGTGCTGATTCACTGGACACTGTGAGGATGACTCTTGCATTCTTGATCAGTGAATGATTCAGCCACAAGTAATTAGTATTTGAAATTCTTTCCTTTTTCCATTGCAAACACCTGCCTTTAGCCAACTGCACTTGAGCTCAAGTTGGACTAAGATGTTGTATCTCTCCATGACTCATTCATTGAACAAATAGTTATAGTTACTGAGTGACTATTATTTGCAGCCCTGAGAATATAATAGTGACAAAAATCTCTGCCTTCATGGAGTTTACCTTCTAGTGATCCATGTAGTAACCAGTTCTCAAGGGTGACAAGGGAGCCCACCAAATGACTTCTCATCCTATTGCCCTTGGACTGGACTGATCTCTACTTTCCCACCAGGCTTCTCCAGAGAAACTGCCTGTTGTTCAAGACTTCCCACCAGCTCGCTTCACCTTGCCTCTCTAGCCCCACTGCCTCAAGTCCTCCTCTACGAGAACTTTCTACCTCTCTTCCTTCCACATCTAGCCATTGGCCTTGCTCTGGCCCTCCCTGAGTGCCTTTCTTCCTGTTATCACCAGGTACCTCCTCTGGGCCCCTTCAGCTACCCTGGCAATTGTAAGACAGGTTATCACCATCTCTTTCTCTCTCAATTGACCTGTGCCCCAGAGTGCCTTTTTCTTCTAGTCATTTTGTTCACATCTCAGTAGAGCCTGGTTTTTCCTTTTTGTAGAAATTTTTCCCTTCCATATTTCCCATGGGACAGCTGAGTCTTAGAACTTGCTTACCCATATGTGCATGGGCATATATGTGCACATATATGCACACACACACACAAAGAAAAATGAGAGTACCAGAGGCCTGGAAAGTCCCCAGGCTGCTTAGCAGTGAAGTATGGGATGTTGTCAGTTCCCTGTGGTGGTGACCTGTCTTATCAATCACAGATTTAGAGTTATCCAGCCCATCTGCCTGAGCCTGTCTGCCCACTTGTGTTTCATAGTAAAATGTCTCCAGGCACAGATGACCTGGATTGTCTAGTTCATTTTTCTCTGATTTCATATACCAG